TCTTTTTGTAATGCCAATTATGCGGCACTTACAATTTATATGTACTTTATATAAGCCCTGCTACTGCTGTGCGAAATTTGGTGTTATTTTATAAACTGCGGATTTTCTTATGATTTTATGTATGGTAGCAAAAAATGAGAAAAGGGGGGTCGTATCTGCGCCTGATCTAAATTTCTCCGGAGCTATTGAAGCTTGTTAGCTGCAAACTTGCTGTAATACGAGGCCATCCCTTTAGTTTTTATCATAAGAATTTCAGGCTGTTTTATAACTTCTCTGGTAGGTTACAAAATTTTAAGCCCGAAAATCCCAGTTTTTGCTTTTTAGGATCGCATCTAAATTTGCTAGAGCCTGATCTAAATTTTTTCGAGCTCACTGCTCCTCAAGAGCTGAAACTTTTTCTATGAATAGTCTGGGCACTATGCTACAGAAGTCGTTCTTTGCAGCCTCTCAGTATTTTCCTGGCCTTAGTTACGGATTTTCAAACTACCGTGCTCATGCACGTTTTTGACGTCGTTCTGGACGGCGCTAAAGCGGTTTTTCTCACAGGAAAAACTGTGGAAGAGGTAAGAACTGAGCTTCTTAGTCGAAAACATCTATTGTAGTTCAAGAATGTCATTTTGTTCTCTGTGTAAAAATTTGTGTCGCATATGGGAATCGAATTTGCTGGCCTGAAGTATATGCCTGAAAATTCAAAAGTGAACTTGCAGAATCTCAAACATTATAAGGGTTGTATATGTGCTAGAGATGCTGGGCGCACCCATTGGCCTAGAAATTTTGCTTCCGAAACCTCACTGAAGTTCTCACGCAGGTGTTTTTTGAGATTGACATTCGTTTATGCAGGTTACCGCGAGAAATGTGCAGGGGAGGTAAGGGGGATGGTTGGGGGAGGGGGAGGGGGGTGGGGGAGAGGGGGGGGAGGGAAAAGGGGGGGAGGTCGTACGGATGGGTACCTTCAGGGGGGGGTCGTAAATGGGGGTCCAGGATCGCATCAACACGCTTGACCCTGTCTCGAGCACAGATTTAGAATCAGCGTTTCGAGGTGCACCTTATGGTGATCATCGCATACCAGATGGCCGCGGTCACCAAATATCCTTTTGTTAGCTTTAATAATATTCGATCTTGGTATAACAGTAGTGATTAAGGCGCCTTTGATTGCGATGATATACGGGTCAGCGTTCTACTGAGTTACCAGTACCAGTATACTCGAAATATCAAATTGAAGAAGTGGGCAAATGTAAAACGTTAACAAGTGACTTTGCAGATTTCAAAGGTCAGTTGGGGTTTCATAAGGATACAAGCAGACGATTAGTGCAGTTTACTGATCAAGGATGTTCAGGGGATACAGCTCAATATAATGTGCGCATGCTATCCCGTTTATTGAAGAAAATAAACAATTTCTTGATTAACACACCCCTTTCGCTGGACACTGGTCATAGAGTCTACCGTCGGACGAAGGCGTAAGGCCTAAGGCCTAAGCCATACCTCCAACGATCCCATCGTTACGATTTTCGATCGCTGCGTTTAGACTGTGTTGGCGACCGTTCACTGCGTGAAAATGGCTCGCTTTTTTGCTGGACATACCTAAAGCGATTTCGTAGACGTTGCTCACTCACCACACCGCGGTATATGCACTTTTGGAAACTTTACGCTGATTTGTCTAGAGTGCAATTAATCGAGGAAATTCAAACGTGGCCCCATATGTTTTCATAGAGCAATACATCAGACGTAGAAGATATGGATTCACATTCATGCAAGTAATTACCAACGTTTTTCTACCGGCGCAAGTTAACATCTATAGTAGACGTGTCTAGTCACCTCGGTGCGATATGTGTGACTGCACACAATTTTGGAGTCCTGGATGAGGTGCTGGGCTCCCACCGTGCCGTACTTGCACCAAGTGCGCATACGGCTAAAATTCGACGCCGAACTGCTCGTTTCTTTATTTTGGTGTTTTGTTTTTGTTTTTAGCTGCATGCACAGCCTGGTTTCCAATGATTTGTTATACCTTTACACTCGTGCATTGCCATTTTAGATCGCATATCTTAAAATTTATCACTTCTGATTTCAGGTAAGGGAGGCACATGGGCAATCTTGAAGGATTGTGAAGTAAGTGTGCTTTCGATGCTGAACAAGATCCATGGAGTTCACAAACATGGCATTAACAGCAAAAATTTCCGCTGGAAACAATCCTGTGTTTGAAAACAGCTTCTCATTGAAACTCGGCATAAGAAACCAGGATTTTCGATAACAATCATAAAGAAGTTAAAACTCGTATTGTTTAAAAGACAATCTATTCTTTCTACATACGACAATACTGAAAAGCACGCTTGCTTCATAATCCTGCAAGATTGTTCATGTGCCTCTCTTATTTGTTAGCAGAAGTGATAAATTTTGTGATACTAGTGAACTAGTCATAAAGGTGTTATTTGCAATTGCATTCGCTCCGGGACCGCGCCGCGATTTCCCGCTATTTGCAGATTTTTGAATTGCTCTTGCGTTTCTTTATGTATTAGAATCCGACCTAAAACGGCAATGCACGAGTGCAAAGGTAAACCATTGAAAATTAGACCGTGCATACACCTAAAAACAAAAAACACCAAAATAAAAAACGGGCAGTTTGGCGTCGAATTTTAGCCGTATGCGCACTTGGTGCAAGCACAGCAAGGCGGGAGCCCAGCACTCATCCAGGATTTCAAAATCGTGTGCAGTAACACACATCGCACCGAGGTGACTAGACGGATGACGTCTACTATAAAAAAGAGACCAACTATTAGTTCACAAATTTTTGAGATTACTGTTCCGGTCGATAGGCATATACGTAGCTTCGTAACAGTAAGGTCATGCTATCAACCCTGTAAAAAACTCTGGGCAGGCTTTTTTTAACAACGAGTGCTGCGCAAGCTCTTTTCTGTCAATCTGCGAACGATTATATATGAATGCCTGAGCAGCCGAAGTTGCAAATTTATATTCAGACATCATAGCAAGAATATTCGAGGTCTGATCACTATTTGCTTGTTATTGATAAACCAGTGCTTCACCTCTGCTTCGCAGAGGCTCGAACTGGCCATCAAGAAACGATGGTAAACTTACGATGTGAAGGCTTTCTTTTAGATTATTACCAGGTTGATTGCAGTGAGAGAGTCCTAATTAAAAATGAACCAAACTCGCTATCAGAACCTCACATGCTCCAAAAAATTGTAAATCATTCCTCACTGTATTTTCGCAACAGATAGACTTACAGACCGACAAATAAGCGGCTTATTATAAGTCATGACAAGAACAGGAGAAGATTAGTGCTTTGCGAAGATTGTAAATGCTAACGCAGAGGTAAGGTGACATATGAGAAGCATCTCATGCTGGAGCCATTGCCCATCCTGGTGCAGAACTAGAGACGACGACATCGCTGAGTTTGAGCCTGCTGAGAATATGCCGGCCAAAAAAGGCCCGCGATTCGTCGCAGTGTCAGTCGTACAAAGACGCGGCACCACACAGTTGGGCGTGCGTGCGCTGCGGATTCGGAACATATATCTGAGTTGCAAATCGCGACGCAACTGGAATCGCGGGAGGTATGCTTTAAGGGCCGGGCATATTTAATGCGATTTGAGTCGCGACGCGATTTGGCATTATTCCAACTATCCATAACTCATTGCAAGCGCATTTTAAATGTACAGAAGGCAGGGCATTCTATCAACCCACGTGATTTATACACACTATGCATGTGCAGTTTGCTAGCGTTGGATCAGACTTCTGGCGAATTGCCAAATCGCGTCGCGATGAAATCGCGTGAAGTATGCCAGGCTGTTTAGGCCTAAAGCTTACCTCCCGCGATTCTGTCAAATCGTTATATTTACGCGACTTGTCATTTGCTAGATGACTACGGATAAATGTGGTCTCAGATGCATATGGCATATGCGCGCAGCCTCTGTGAGTTGGAAACTACTGACGCAGCCCGCGACCATCTACACCATTGTAAACTGTGCGCATCATGTGCTCTGTAGCAAGAAAACCACGTTCAGGATTCTAGGTTTGCGCCTTCGCCAATACTTCAGGTCTCATGGAAATGAAAATCGAACAAACTCATTTAAGTGAAGGTGTGTGACTCTTCCATCCATTTGCGCAGAGCAATCTTGCGCAACCGTCAATTTCTTAGATATAGCCAGAAATGTTACTTTGAAAAGCTATGCTGTTTGCGCCTGTTTTAATTATGAATTTTCCTTGTTTTTATGGCGCTAGGAATGACAGTGCCACTGAATTCGTGGCTGCAGTCAGTACAATAGAGACAGAACTCACCTTTAAGAACCGATTGCATGTTAAATCCGTGAGAAAAAGGAGCTCACCTTTTAATTAGTGTCAGAAGAACATGCAGGTAGAAACGACGACGCCGAAGCAACCAGTACTTACTAGATCGATACCATCCTGCTCAGGTTTGATTATGATTAGGTCGCAGTTATGGAATTCGTTGCTACGATATTCTCATGTGCGCTCTCGCCACCAATCAAGTGCCATGAAGGTCTTGTCAATCAAGCTTTTTTCTCAGCATTTCTCCATTGTAACAAGCAATCTATTTCAACATGGTCTCTCAGCGGAAAAAAATTATTTCAAAACAAGTTCCTATTTTTACAAACACGGGCACTGACTGGAACACGTTCACCTTCTCTCTTCCCCCCCCCCTCTTCGCTTCCTATTTGAACATGTCTATCTATCTGGCAATTTAGTCAGTTCCACACGGCCGTTCCAAATGTGTTTAGAAGTTGAATACTTAAGATTATCCACCGAGTGAAAAAATTTTGCAGTGCACGTAGAACAAAGAGATTCAAAAATTGATGTCTTTTATGAAGAAAAATGTCGACGAAACTTGTCGGACAGGTAGATGACACGCCAATTTTTTTATTATCACCTGACAATATGTTGACACTTTCTTAGTCTAGACCTAGGAACAAATGATTTGTTCAATGGAGCAGAATGGAGAATTTTTTTTTGCAGAAGTGATGCCGCACAGATGAAAATAAGTACTTTTATTGTTTGTAATGTTTTCATGACCATATGCAAAGTCCAGTGTTTTCATCAGGATTTTCGTTGCTTGCATTTTTTCCACATTCCGATAATGTTTTTCCTGGCGTGTACATGTCGACACCGATTATGTTCCCACTGAAAAAAAAATGTTTTCAGTCATGACTAGTTGTAAAGATGATAAGAAGTCTTCATGACCTACCCTGGGTAATAATGACATACTAGTGATACGTTGTTTGCGCAATTATGTATTCCGCAGCCAATCCACTTCATTCTTGCTGTGAAGATCTGAAAGGAAGGGCTCCCCGAGTGTGAGAATTCACAAGTACATGAAGCATCGCGTGGTACAGCACTATTTCTTGCTAATATCAAACATGTTTCAAAAGCAGAGTTCGTCCAAATCCTCTCCTAGTTTTCTTCCTATTGGCTCGCCTTTCTCTTGTTTTGAGGAATGCAAAATCATGAACTCAGAAAGCGTCATGTAAGGTTATTTCAAAATGCTCAGGCAGCGTCCGGGCAGATAAACTTTGGCCAGATGACGCAATCGAGTTCTAAGGCCCAACTTAGAACTACTGCGTGGACCCGCCTTTCGGACACTGTCCCCAAAAAGGTACTAGATCGTTTGAACCCCACCCACTTTCTTGCGACGCTAACCCTCGAACAGAATCTCCTCAGCCCTTGACGCGTTTTCACTTGGCAAACACAGCGATATCGCCAGGTGCACTTCTTTACGGTTCTCACAAAATTATTCCAAAGAAAGAAAAACTTTTTCACAAGCTGGCTTACCCGGCTCCGCCAAACCTGTCAAAACACTATGGCCCGCATGCACGTACATCCCCGCGGGGAGGGGAGGGGATTTGAGAGGGGAAGCGTCATATCTCGCTAGTCCATATATCTTTCTTCTTCTTTCTCTATCTTGCATTTGAAGGTTCTCATACACTGATACTTGCGCATAATGGATGCCAGGTTACTGCCATACAAGATCAGATATTCACTATTTCGTCTGATCCCCTGGGGATCCCCTATGCTCTATTAACCCACCTGTGCCAGCTCGCACCTCCGTAGCTTAAAGTAAAGAAAATCGATAAAAATCGATAACGTCGATATCGATTGGTAACGAAAAGTAACCCACGACACCCGGCCCGCACCGAAATGTATGTGTGCCAAATTTGGTATGGTTCACGATTTGCCAGGCTTTGAAAAGTCGCAAACAAGCTCTTTAACGGAATTTGCGTCAATGTAATGAGCTTCCCCCACAATGGTCGGCCGCCTCATCGTGGCTTGGGGGTGACACTGGGTGTCGAACTGCGATGCACAGCCGAGTGTATACTCTGGCAAGGCCTCCCAAGCTGTGAAGGAGTTCGACGTTTCCGGTTTCGGCCGGATGCCTAGCTAAGAGCCGGCCAGGCCAGATCCGCCGCCGTCTGGTTTTTAGGTCGCTAGGCGGTTCTCCCCGCTCCAAGCCCGGGGTCAGCGATCGCCCCGTGGAAATCAAGAGTTGGCCTAGTAAGTCTGCTCTTGTAGGGGAAAAAATTTCATTACTCTACCAGTTAGAAGAATAGAAAGAAACCCTGTACATCGGATCCCGCCTACGGCGCCGGGTGGTAGCAAGACTGATGTCAGGGTCCTCAGGGCGCCTTTTGGATTGGACAAAAACGACACGTCTGCCCGGACGACACGCCACGGAGACTGCCTCATGCTCTGCACCTACAACGCCAGGACAGTCTCCACAAACGCCGACCTCCACGCTCTTCTCGACGCTGCAGAGCACATCAAGTACCACATCATCGCTCTGCAGGAAACGAAGTCCAGGAAGAAGGACGTGCGACAGATGAATGATGGAACACTCATCATTCGTGGTGAGAAGGTTCCATCACGAAACGTGGGAGGTGTTGGCTTTGTCGTCCACCCATCTATCGTCCATCTTGTCGATTCGCACGAGATCCTATCACCCCGACTAGCCATCCTACGACTACGTCCTCCACGTCAGAAGACCATCAGCATCATCAACTGCTACTCTCCAACATCAGCAGCTGACGACTCAGAACTAGATGCTTTCTACGAAGACGTGGAGGAGGTCGTCCGCAACGAAAAGTCCTTCTACAAGTATGTTGTGGGCGACTTCAATGCGAAAATCGGGATGCCACTAGAAAAGGAATATAGGATCGGGAAGTTTGGATATGGGCTCCGGAACGAAAACGGCAACCGTCTTGTTGGGCTTCTCTCCGCCGCACGACTTTTCCATGGAAATTCCATCTTCATGAAGAAAGAACATCGCCGGTGGACATGGGAATCGCCCAACGGAACGACTCACGTGGAGATCGACCACATTCTCGCCAACCGAAGGTGGAGCTTGCTCGATGTCTCAGTAGTTCCATCCTTCTGCAGTGGCTCCGATCAGCCTCCTTCAAGCGAAGATACGACTCAGCCGAAGGCTGGAAAAGAAAGTCTGTCACAGTGCCGCGAGAAGGAAGGAAGTCGTTTACGACGGTAACAGGCTGGAGGAGCTCATATCAAGATGTGACTGGCCCATCGAGGAGGACCCAACGTACGACTACGACCGGCTTCTGAAAGGATTGCGAGCCTGCGGAGAATGTGCCTCAGTGACTTCTGAGAAGAACTTGGAACGTATTTCGAAGACCACCAAGGAGTTGCTCGAAAGAAGAAGATTTCTGAGGCAGGATCCGAATGCAACCCATCTCGAGCGACTGATAGCCAACGCCAGTTGCAGAACTGCTTTGCAGGAGGATCTCAGGAAGTACAGGCAAGCCAAGATACTGGAAGCAGCCGAAGAAAGACGAAGTCTTAAGAAATGCCGAAGGGACCTCTGTGAATATCACGTACCGCTGGCTGCACTATTGAACGAAGACGGGACTCCGACTTCTTCCCGATACAAGATGGAATCTATCGCGAAGAACTTCTATACCAACCTCTTCCGCTCATCAACACCCGTGCCGATGCCCGTTGTTCCCACGGGAGAAGTACCACCACGAATTCTACCTGCTGAAGTGCGCACGGCGATTCAGACCATGAAGACATCCACGGCTCCAGGACCAGACCATCTTTCCGTCGAATTTCTGCGAGCCGGAGGACAACGTCTACACGAGATTCTCGCGTCGCACCTGACATCTTACCTTCAGAAGGAGAGGATTCCCGACCAGTGGAGAACGTCAAGAACCGTCCTTCTTTTCAAGAAGGGTGAACGGGAAGATCTTCGAAATTACCGTCCAATATGCCTGCTGAGTGTGCTGTACAAGCTCTTCACGAAGATTATCCTCGCACGCATATCTAGGACACTGGATGAAGCCCAACCCCAAGAACAAGCTGGATTTCGCAAAGGATTCAGCTGCATGGACCACATCCAGACGGTTTCGAGGGTCATAGAAGTCTGCCGGGAGTACCGACTGCCTCTCGTCCTAACCTTCGTCGACTACGAGAAAGCCTTTGACAGCGTCGAAACCAACGCCATCCTGTCTGCGCTAGTCGATCAAGGAGTGGAACCAGCTTACGTGAGGACACTAGCCGACTGCTACAAGGACTGTACAACAACGATGCAGCTATTCCATCGCCCCCTAACCATTCCAATTGGGAAGGGGGTTCGACAAGGCGACACTATTTCGCCGAAGCTGTTCACCGCGCCCTTACAGTGGGTGATGAAGTCACTAGACTGGGAAGAGAGAGGCATACGAGTTGATGGGAGATTCCTATCCAACCTTCGTTTTGCGGATGACATCGTCCTTTTCTCGAGCAGTATCACTGAAGCAGAGGCGATGCTGAAGGAACTAAACGAAGTAGGGAAGAAGATCGGACTGCGAATAAATCGGAAGAAGACTCAGTTCATGAAGAACGCCCTTTGCGAAGATGCAGAAATGGAATTGGAAGGCACCCCTATCATGGAGACGTCTTCTTACGTGTATCTCGGACGTTCGATGAACATGGAGAACGACTTGAGGGAAGAACTTAACAGGAGAAGAAGAGCAGCCTGGGCCGCCTTCGGGCCTCTGAAGGAAGCCACCGACCAACTGACGGACCCGGAGCTTCGTGCCCACCTGTTCGACTCAACCGTTCTCCCAGCGCTCTGCTACGCAGCTGAGACTTGGGCCGACACCGTAGCCACGTCGAAAGCTTTAAGGACCACCCACAGAGCGCTCGAGCGCAGTCTTCTGAAGATGACCCGACACAAGCAACATCTAGTCGGACTTCGCAGCACGGATATGAGAAGAATGTCCCGTCTTCGTGACCCAGCGGAATACGTTGCGAAAGCGAAACACCGATGGGCCGGTCACATAATGAGAAGAACGGACGATAGATGGACACTAAGAACATCTGAGTGGATTCCTCGCGAAGCCAAACGTCCTCGAGGAAGACCACCGACGAGATGGGCAGACGTGTTCGTGGAACGGATGGACCAGCTGAGAAATCAGCTGGATACGATTCTTGCCCCTGGAACTCGTGGACGCAGCCACCGACGACGACCAAGAAGATCGTGGATGTCCAAAGCGAGGGACAGGGATCAATGGCGACTTCTGTACTGGGGCCCGCATGTCACGTGAGGACGGGCCATCTAAGTATCTAAGTAAGTAATGAGCTTAAGCGCTTGCCATTGTTCGCTCGTGTTATTTTAGAATTTCTCTGATACTGCTGCGACTACAGAGGAAGCCTAATAAGTCGAGAATCTGTCCGGACGCTGCCTTCACGGCATCTTTCTTTAAAAATGATCTTTCTCTTATGTAGAAAATACTCTGCTTCCAAGTACCAAATTGAGACACAAGGAAACTATTGTAAATTTTCAGATGGAGGTTTCTTTCCTAACGTAAAATATTGGTATCGAGAAAATCATTGAGCTAGAATGCGCAGTTTACTAGCCACCCTTCAAGGCTTATAAATTAACCGAAGCGATTTTTCGATTTGAGGTCCTTCCACTGCTTTTCTGAAGAACACGAACTTCTGCATTTCTCAGTAATTAAAACCCACTACTTCTATTTCTGAACAATGGAGTAAGAAACTAAGTACCACGAAGCTGAGTGGGCTCCTCCACTTCTCTACCACCCCTTACTGACTGCGTATGAAAATAATGACAGCAAGCGCAGTCGAATGAGGCGCTACCAAGACCGGGTTATATCAAGGTTCGATCCCGTCTTTCTAACCAAGCCTTCAACCTTCGGAGACGGTAAATTGCTAACACCTGAGTAATCAGGGAGGATGAACCACTAATTTAATAATAGCTTGACCTCGCAAGTCATTGTAAAGGATCGCACCGACTCTACCGCCTCGACTACGAAGTAGAA